CCGTGCCCGCCCCTGCCGCCCTGCCAGCACCTCCCCCGACTGCCCGCGACCCCTCACAGCCATCCAGAATCGCCCACAACCGCCTAAAACCGCCCGAAAACCGCCGGCATCCGCCCCCTCAGGTCCTCAACAACCTGGGGCTGCCCCCGACCTCGAGCTCGCGCTACGACCACACCCGCTGGTGGTGGCGCGCCCAGAACATGGTGTCGGAGCACGCCGCAAACAGCCGCGGCGGCCACCCCTGGGTCTGGGCCAGCCAGCCGGACGCGGAATTCGCGAAGGCGCACGCGCAGTATGGAGGGAAGCTGACGTGCCAAAACCCCTGGTTCCTGCCTTACGAGTTCGCCGAGCTGATGTGGCGCATCCCGGACGACGCGCCGCCGGCGCCGGCGCCGCCGCCGTCGGGGGCGCCGCCGCGCCACCACCGCGGCGGGCGGGGGCTGTGAGTGGCGCGGCGCGGCGTGCGGCGCCGTGTGCGCGGGAGCGGACGGCTGCTTGCATGCTTGCGCGCGCGTGTGCGTGTGCGCTTCGTCGACCGCGGTTTCGGATTTTGTGCGTGGTTCTGGGGAGAGGGCCTGTCTGATGTTTTGCACAGCGTCTGGCGCTGCATCACACGTAGTGCCTCAGGATGAACCCCACACTGCATCGCTGCATCGCCGGCCCCAGCCCCCCCGCCAACGCCGGCCGGCCCCGCCATCAGCGTGCTCGCCGGCTGGCGGGGACTTGTTGGCGGCGGACGCGAGATTTTCTGTGTGCACAGAACCCTCGATGTGTCACGCCTAGGTGTGCTTTCTACTGCCATCAAACGCGCGGCAGAGCTCATCAACTTTGAGCACTCTCACACACGCTGCATTTGCTGGGCAGGGTCTCCAGGTCGAAGTGAACGCGTTGTTTTTGCCTTCCTCGGTGTTATAGCGCCCCGTGCCGCCCGTTGGTTGTGTTCTGGGTGCGGCCGCTGTGTCCTTGAGCGCGGCTGTCTGCGTCGCAACGCGGCGGTGCGCTGGCAGCTCCTCGTATAACGTGGATGCCATGCTGTTGTGTGCGTCCCAGCTGCATGAGTGTACCGTAGTGTGCAGCCTGCCACTCAACGCGGAGTTGGCTTGAAGTGGTGTCAACGCGCCCTGCTGATCATACACTGTGGGCTGCGTCGTCCACATAGCCCAAATTCAGATCGAGTAAATCTGCCAAACGGCCTGCCAGGCCAGAGCACAGTGGGCTGTGAGCGCGTGCCAATCGTCGGCCGGAACCTCCGTCTGGGGGTTTAAGGAGCAAGTGTATGCTGTGTGTGTGCACATGGGGTGGTGCAAAGAACATCTTTTCATGGCCTGTCAGACTAGCTGTTGCCCTGATACCATGTGCTGCTGAGAGCGACGCTTCCAGCGGAGTAGCACGGTTGCATCGCAGCAATTTTGGCCGAGGTTGGCCCAACTCACAAACATGCGCCCGGCCCAGCGGTGTCAAGACAATTAAAACCCGTTCAACATTGGTATCATCATCATAGCAGAGGTTTGACTCAACGCAGCGGCTGATCCAGCTGCCAAAACGCTCGCGAGGTTCGCTTCTCGTGCATCGGAGCCGGCGAGCGGTCTCAAGGCCCCCGAAAATGGCGGTATGTGTGAATGTAGCCTTGGCATGTGCATCACTCGGGCTCCCAACTGTTGCACCTGCAGTTTGAGAACCAACGCCACCTGGCAGCGCCGCTAGTGTCTAGCCCAGGCCCACCACAACCCTTCACCCTGCCGTCCCGAACTGACGGCCCGCCGCAGAAACAGAAGCAGAACGCCAACTTCGTGGGCTCGGCGGTGGCGGTCGCCACGCGCTACCTGTATGTGGCGCTGGGCGCTTACCTCGGCCTGCTGTCGGGGGCGTTCTGGGCGGCGGCCGGCGCGCCCTACGCGATGTTCAACGGTACGCAGTGCGCACGCCCGCACCACCTTGACCTTGATTATCCAAAACCTAACATCAGTGCCACAGATCCCAGCACCTTTTGCGCGCCACGTGGGCACCATCAGGCGCCCCCACCCACCCCCTTGCAACAATGAAGTCAAGTCCTTTGTTGCATGCAACAAGCCGGCATGCACTCCGCGCGCGCACACCTGCCCGGCCGCAGGCGTGTCTCACGGCTTTGCGGCGGTGTACGACGCCATGTGGGCTTACTTGGGCGAGGGCCAGCGCCTGACCAAGGCGCGGCTGCACGGCGGCGGCGCGGGCGTGCCTGTCAGCCACAAGGTCAAGCCGGCCGCGGCCGCCGCCGCGCCCGCGCCCGGGACCACGGGCGCCGCCAAAAAGAGGTTGCAGTGAGGTTCGAGGGCGACAGCTGGTTTGAGCGGGGAGAGCCGCAGTGTTGTTAGCAGCGGATGGGTGGGCAGGATGGGGGCTCGCGGGGCAAGGCGCATCGTGCATGTGCGATCGGGCGCGAGGGAGGTGGTGGGCGACGCGCTTGCTGCATGAATATCCTGGCTGTAATTTAAAGATGCGCACGAACCTGACTGGTAACGTTGTAGATGGCGGCGTGTGCGGGGAAGGTGGGTTAGTGCAAGGCGGGAACAGCAGCACCCAGGAGCGGCGCTTGGTGGTGGGCAGTGCACGGATTTGGTATGCAGGGGTTAAGATGGTCTCGTGGTGCAAGCTCCTAGCGGGACCGCAAACCTTGCAATGTGAGTTTGCACGCAGAGCAGGTGCTTTGGAGCAGCCCTGGGGCCATTCGTGCGTGTGTGCAGCGGAGCGTAATGGCTGACTTGGTCTACACTTGCGGTAGAATGGTGTCCCGCATACCTGTGCGGCAGCACGGTCACCAAATTGAGGGATTTGGATATGCATTCAGGCTTGCAACGAAGCAAGCGGACTTGGTTTCAGCTGGCTAGATCGCCGTACTCGAGATCAAGCGCATCTCCCGCTTCGCTGTACGTGTTCGTTGGTTGCCAGTTGGTATTGGACAACTGTAACAACCGCACAGCAACCCTCCAGGCAGCTCTCGCCTTGCCACCAGCAGCGGCGCTGCACGCTTGCGCCTGGGACACAGCCGGTGGAGGCGCCCAGGCGCGGCGAAAGAGCGAAAGGGCGCCGCCCTGCGCCGCACAATGCGGCTGGACGATGAAGTCATGCGCGGCATGGAGATGGGCAAGGCTCATAAGGTGGGAGGGCAGGGGGCGGGTGCACTCCTGTCAGCCGCGGCAGCAACACGCGTTGCCCTTCAGCTGGCGCCTCCCTAGTTAGCCAACGCCCCTCTTATCGAGGCGGCCGCGCCGGCCCCCCTGCATTTCTCGTCAATCATTCCCCAACTTCTGCCCCCGCCTCCGCACCCGTGCATCGGGCGCCTCTCCACCC